ATTGTATACAGTATTTATATAAATGGTTTTGATTCAATCATAGTCCTTATATGAAAGTTTCCATATGATACTAAGAAGCCTAAATCTTGCTAGGTTTAAGCATAAATGTTTGAATTTGACTTTTCCGACCCAACGTAGAATCAATAACAGAATAATATGCTTATTGGTTAACCAGATGGTTTTATATTTCTCTGTTAATCAATAATCGGTCTGATTTTATTATCTTTGACTGTATCTATCTGCGTCGTAAATATATTTTCCAATTACTGTAGCTATTTTTAGTTTAAGAAAACAAAGAATACTTTGACTTCAAAAAACAAATGCTTTATAGGATTAAAGATGACACCTAAATAAATATATTATTCATCGCTGATTCACATACTAATTTAGATCGCTCTATAGTGCACATCTTGTGAATCATAATTACATTGAATCCAATGGTAAAAAAGGCACTACTTATGATTTTTTGATTATCGTGCATATTTTTAACATTACTCTGTAAAAAAAAACCACTTTCCTGAAATCGATCTTTTAGAATATGACAGTCATGTATATGTATTTTGATTTATGGGAAAAAAAATATATATGTATGTATATATGATTGATAGCAAATGTTCTATCAAAATTGTAGCCATATTTCATCCAGAGTAGAATATGCCGTACTAGAAAAAAAAACAGTTTTTTCGACTTTCTCGAATTGACAAGTTTACGAAAATTTCTCTCTCTCTTTTTTTTTTCTTTTATAATGATTATTTGTTTTTCTTACATTTCATTTAATGATAAAAACTACATGATATGTGTTATTGCAATATCTTATCCACATTGATAAGTAGACTTCTCTTCATATGTATAATATATCATTGATTATCAACAGTAGCACACAAACACTACCATTCATATGTCAAACTGTTAGAGGCTCGAGTATAACTGACAACAGAATTACGATCATAAAGATCAAGTACATGTATACAAAATAATTCTTTAAAACGGCACATCTACTTCAATATCGAACGATATAATAATGCTGAACCTTTCTTTTTTTCTTCTGTTAACTATATTTTCAATAATCAATATTGGTATGTGTAAAATTTATTTTATCAAAGAAAAAACGATATAAAATAAATTTTTGTTTTTTTAGTATCATCAATTTCTTGTTATAAATGTTCTTCAATCAATGGTAGCAATCCATTATGTGAAGATTTCTTTCAAGGCGATATGACGGGTACAACATCACTTCTTCATACGCCTTGTTTAACTAATTTACGCGGACGTCAAGGTCTTTTTCCTGCAACACATTGTATTAAACTAGTTGCTTATTCAGGAGGTATAAACAATTCTTCTTCTTATTATTATTAGAAATATTTCTTATAATAGAATCTAAATCTGTTCAATATACATATCGTACATGTAGTAGAGATGAAGGTGATGATAATGGAATAACTCGTGCTAGTCATTGTGGTTTTATTAAACTCGATTGGATTAATCAACATCGACGATTTCGTGGATGTTTAAATATATGTGATAAAGATGCATGTAATCAAGCTAATTATCATTCAATTTCAATATGGAATATAATATTTTATCTTAATTTATTATTACTACTACTTTGTATGTAAGATATTATTGTAAATGTCAATAAATATTTCATGTAGAATTCAAACCAAAATGTTAGCGCGAATCCCTGTTGGATTACAATGTGAAACACGATGCAGCTACTATTGCAAGACACAAAAAGATTATTTTATTCCATCTAATTTAGAACAAATTTCTTCACCATGTTTTTACTTAATCTTCATGAAATGTCGTAAGGAAGTAGTTCATTTATTATAACGAGACATTATTGATATACAGTCTGTGATCGTATATTGACATTGATCACGATCTATGGTAGGGGTCTTCAGATGTTTATATGTATCCTTCAACATTCTTTTTGTATCGTGTTTCGCAAAAATATTTAAAATAAATCGTTTTAATAGAGAAGAATATATATGAAATATAGAAACTAGTTAGAGCTATGTGTCAACACTTATTTTTTATCTAAAATTTAAGTAAGATGTAAAAATAAATTTTGACAAGATAGATGAAATCATGAATTCATCTGACATGTCAACGTTTTCGAACAGATGAGCAATTCTTGATAATCGCTGAGATTCTCTCATATGTTTATTCTCTGCGTTATTGTTTCTCCTAGCATATGACTTGTACAATTTCGATATTTTTCTCATGAAAATCATACTTTGAAATTTCTTGAAAATTTAACTTATTCGCGGCGACATGAATATTTCTTTTTCATAACTCGTGAAAGGTTTCATTTCTTTATTTGTTGCAACTGTAGTACTTCAAAACAAGTTTTATCAACGTTTCTCTTATCAATATGATCTATGAATATTCCTTTATCAGCGGTAAAAGAATCAACCCCTTTGGTCAAAGTATGGCAGAGATATTCAATTTTTTCTGGGATAAATGAGCTTTTGGGCCACCCTATAGTGGGTCCCACCGGTGGGACCCATCGCCTCGAAAGGGTTAAAGAGCGTACAAATTTATTCATTGAGAGTTATTAGTGACGTGTATATGCCTACTTTCTGTTCAATTGTGAACAGAAAGTAATTTATATGAGTTGTCGAGCAAAAGTAAAACAATATTTCATAGCGATTGATGTCGAAAGTCTTCGACACAAAAAAAAACTTATATTGAATATCAACCAATAGAGAAATCCTTTTGCTTACGTAATTAACCTTTTATATCAATGTCGCAGTGTAGAGCGAGCTACATCTCCCCTCCCCCCAAGGAGACGCAATTGATGTTTGTTTCCGTATATATAATGAAATCCACGTTTTGCTAAAGTTCGTCTTAACCTAAAGCATATGATGCGCTATAAGACTTTCTGGGTAATTGACTGAGTTTCTAGAAACTAAAATGGCTTCCCGAAACATTGAAAGGAGTTCTAAAATATCTAAGAATAAACTGACGACGACATTAGTCATACTTTTACTTGACGTAGAACTAACAGTAGTACGGAAGGCATAGACACGATTAAAATACATCAAATTTTTCTATTTGAGTTTTTGTGACATCTTTATATATTGAGCAATGATATTTGTAAATATCTAATGGCAAGAAATTTTATGAGAGAAAGTTTTTTAAGAATATAAATTATAATAAATTTCAATGTATATGAACATGTTTTTAATTGTTTTCTATGATCAATTGTAAATGATTAGATATTTTATCTATCATTTGTGTTTCGAAAATTTTTTCCATTCTTGTGCGTTTTCTTCTTCTGATTCTAACGATGTATCAAGCACTTTCCTGCGAATTTTTTCGCAGGAAAGTACACTTCATACATTTTCAGTACCTTAATACATCAGCAAATTTACGATCGGTATCTACTGATTCTATACAACGATCTATTCCATTTTCGTAACTGGTAGATATTTAAGATAAAATTTGTCATTCAAGTATAAAATATTTTAGATATAAATATATTTCTATTGTGTTAAAATAATCCTTCGTCGCTTGGTCGCGATTGACTACGTAATAAACGTATTAAGATGGTGGAAACTCAAAATTTTTGTTTTTCATTTACTTAGTGTCACTGCATAGAGCGCATTGAGTTACCTATGAAAAACTACTTTTCCTACTTTTAGAAACAATGTTTTCCTGAAAATATTGAAGAAACGACAAAATTCTAAATATCATGATTAGAGTTGACC